AACTGAGCCAGCTGCAGGGCCAACTGAATGAAGGCGTCAGGGCTGCACCTGCACTTCTTGATCAGTCCTTTCCCAAACTCATGAAACAGATATCCATGGAAGTCCACGTCATCAGCTATCAGCTTGGCTGACAAGTAGGATGTCTCAATGACCTCTTGGCACTAAAAGGGAGGAAAAATGAAGGATATCCTGATTATTTCTTTGAGGAAAATATGATTAATAGCCCACAGAAAATCCAATTGGATGCAAAAATCCAATGTTCATGATTTAAGGCCCTACTGCACCTCGTTTGGAATTTGCCACTGTAGTCGGGAGGGATGAGGCAGACCTTTGTTCACATCCCCTTTACAATGTCCCTCCTCTGTGTAGCCAAGATGGAAGCAGTCTGTTGCAAGAACATACTACATAGACAAGACATGCTCAGCAAATGTATCAACATTGTTTTTGAAATACGATATCAGCGAACGTTTCATACCTCCCACATGTGTCCTACAATTGGTGCGTCAGCCCAAGAATGTTCGGCATTAACACCCACTTTTCCGTTTGGATAAGAGATCAAGGTGAATGACTTGTCAAACCACCTGTGCAAGAGGAAACAACATATTTTATTGAGGGTGCCAAATGCCAAAACTTGTACTGCAGCCAATAACGGGGACCATCACCGTGACTTCTGTGCCTACCGGTCATAACATTTCCCGTGAAGCAGGGACTTGGCGTAACTGTCAAGCGATTTGGCCTTGGCAGGGTCATAACCCTGTGGCTCATCATCCAGCGTCAGGAAGAAGGCAGCAGACTCAATGGCGTCCAGGGACACTTTGTTCACTCCCTGCCCGAAATACTTAATCCGAGACTGAGCCCATGGAACTCTGCAAGGGGACGTCAGAGTAAGACAATTTCCCCATCTTCAAGTTTTGAACATGTGCATGTGTGTGATTGAATATACCGGTGTCCTGCGGTCAGGGCAGCCAGTTTGAGTTCTCCTGGCTGCGGCTCTGACGTGTCATTGAGGATCCTTTGAAACTGTGTCTCAAGTTCACTGGGTAAGAGGTGGCGCCCTCCGGTGTACAGCCACAGTAGGAAGAATCTGCCCTTGTGGTAGACGACCAGGTGCTTACGGTCCGTCAGGTGCTGTACAATATCTTCAGGGAACGGCCAACAAGAAAAGGAAGGATGTGTAGACAGAAAATAAGAAGATGCGGTTGGCTAAATTTTAAAATACAATATAATAATCTATACGAAATAAAGAATATTAGGACGCAGCATAACGCTTTAATGCAAACTGATTTTAACCTCACATTCATAATAGTGAGTAAGAAACAGGGGCTGAAACTTATGAGCCAGTTGCACTTCTGTTCATAACTCAATTAGTGAAGTCAAAGTAGGTATTTCACTTCCCTTTGAAGCTGATGGAAGGGATTTGCTTTGACAGCAAGTTTCCACTCAGGTCTGCCCAATGTGTTTGAGTGTCGAGTGACCCTTCAACCCGTGCACAGCGGTTGTTTACCGGTTTCGATCCCAGGGATGCGCGTGGTGTTAAATATCCTCTCCATCTGAGTCGAACACATAGGAACCGTCCCCAGAGCCCTCAGCTGGGAGGGAAAGGAGAAGAAGCAATCACTTCAGAGAAAAGATGTAGAATGTGTCTGGTTAGCTATGACCCGGTTGACTGATTGACTGAAGAGGTGTCGTAGAGTCACGGCGAGCGTTTACCGGTGCATGTTCACCACGTTCCAGTTTGCGCCTGTACTGCAGCATGGCGTGAACCACATTCCCGGCGCGAGCAGCCTGTCGGTGCGTTGGGGTTATGTACAAGAGGTCCTGATACGTTCACCACAAAGACAAAGCAGACTCTTCCAATTAACACACATGGAAACAAAGCAGCGCACATTGAGAGAAGGTCGACCGTATCATACCATTATGTAGAAGTTACTGTTCACCATGATGGGACTCCTACCCCTCAGGTAGATGTACTCCTCCCACCAGTCACTCACCTGCAGGAGACAACACGACTCTGAATTACATCTTGGTTCAATTTTATTTCAGTTGAAATGTTGTCTCACTTGCAGGGACTACTCACATAATTTGTCCCCCACCAGGATTTTAGGATTAGGTACCTCTGTAGCTGGGCGGCTTTTGAATCTTTAAAGTCATTGGCCAACCTTTCCATCTGGTCGTACTGGTCACTGTTTAGCAGCGGGTGGACCGACTCCAGGTACTGTGGTGGAAACATGGTGTGTGTGTGTTGTTAGTACAAAGGAGCAGTGTTGTGTAGAAAACGCTGATATATTGCAGCACAAAAACAAATGTGGGGCAAAGGGGACCTGACAGGTTTGTACCTACTAGTGTACAACTTTCACAAGGTGCATTTAAGGGAGCTTTTAGTTTTAGTTAACACACTAAATAGGTTTAAAAGTTAGAAATAAACAAATGTGGTGTTTGTCGGGAAATGATCACCATGACAAACAACGTTTAGGTAACACTTGTATGTCTTATTGTCGGTCATTTTAAGATGACCCATTCTCTTCTTGTGGTCTTCCCACCCTGTGAATGGTGTCATCCACGCTGGGCACAGGGAGCCTGGGCAAGGAGGCCTGAAAGCTGTAGAGCAGCGGCCTGCGTCCAGAAAACATCTTCACCAGGCTCTGGTGACAAACAAACCAAACAACATCACTCACACATAGTAGTAAAGTCCATGAGCCTTTGTGACGGATCAGCACTGAGGAAGACTTAATGGTGGCATACCAGTAGCCGATCGATGGCACACACACACACGTTAAGATGACATTTTTGGACAGAATGGCAAACGTACCAGCCACACTTTGGTAGATCTGCTCATTTTTCCATGGGATTCAAAAATCCACCCATGGTAGGAGAGCAGAGCTTTCAACATGTATCTCAAGAGGTAGATGAGAAAGAGCCAGAGTCCAGTGGCAAACAGAATGGCACTCAGCACCGCTCGGCTCTGCACTGATAAATAGTCTCTGCACAGAAACACTGCAGAATCACTTCATGGTTTCTGTTAAATTGCCTAAAATCCAGTAGAATATTCAAAGTCTGAACAACGAGAGATGACATATTCTCCTCTGACCTGTGCGGTAGGTTTTCCTGGAGAGCTTCAATCATTCCTAGCGATGGGTCTATGCGGATGTATAAGGAACTCATCATGGCAATCACAACTATCAGCCAACTGGACGGACTGGCAGGATAGACTCCAGCTAATACACCGTTCTGTGGGAGAAATCAACCAAGACTCAGTATTTCATCTACAACGGAAATGCACAACTATGACTTTCACACCTTGAAGGCGTGTTTATCTAATGACTTAGTGTTGGCTATCGCACCTTGAATTGAATGGCCCGCTTCTTCCATGCCGTCACTCCAGACAGGTAGATGGTTTTGATGACCTCTTGACTCAGTTTAAGGTCCACACCGTCTGGGCGCACAGTGAACTGGAAGCCCACCGCCTGATGAGCCTCAGCCATCTTTGAAAAGTACTAAACTGGAAGTCAAAGGGAAACATTCGAAGTCATCAGGGTTTTAACTGGAAGTATTGACCATAAGGACCACAGGGATAAAGAATAAATAAAGTAAATTTGAAGATGCTAAACAAAAGTTGTGGTGGCAGTTGTTTTCAGAGTGATCATGAGGTTTTGTATTGCCGTGTGTATTCCTTGTCCAAGACAGAAGGCTGTAAATAAACAAATATTAACCGTCTCACCGAGACGAAATTCCGAAAAGGAAATTCTGAAATAAAATAAAATCAATCCTTTTTTTAAGATCCCTCTCAAGTTCAAACTGATTTCAAAGATCCGACTCAATGTTGGGACCTGATTTGCAGCGTGCTGTTTGCTCACAACGTGATAGCGAAGTTCCCCGGATACAGGAGTCACAGATTTTTAGAATGAAGAAATAATATATAACTATATTATAAAGCTGCAAGGGTTCAAGTGTCTTTTAAATGCAGTGCTCATGTGAAATCCAAAACCAAAATATTTGGAGCCCATAAACCATTAGATGTAATGCTCAGGTGACGGCGCTAGGATTTCTGTTTCCATGTCATATGACTTCGCTGTCACCAAGTGGGACAAAGTTCAATAGCCAGATATAGCAGTGCACACCGACTGAGCATGCGCCAGACCTCAGATGGGCACGGAAATATAAACACAGAGCACAACCAACAGATGAGTGCTTAAAAAAACGCTGTGTGAATCTGTTAGATACTGAAGAACTGCACCAAGAGTGAAAATCTATAGATCAGCACCTGACTTTACACAACATGGTCAACTTGATTATTTACACACAAGGCACAAAACAACACTCATTTTCACATCATACTAATAAACACAATAAACACCTCAAATATCAAGCAGATACATATCTGCAGCAAATACAAGTAACTAGCTGCAGAAGGGAATAAGGATCACAAATATAGACAGATACTTTACCTCTGTCAGAGCCGAGTCACTATAATCCACTCGGGCAGGGGAGAGCTGCGACTTTGGTTTGTGTCAGAGGCAATGACATTCCTCCGTTCTCGGCCTCGGGATCCGTGTGACTCCTGTGCCCTTGATGTTGCTTTCCTCAGGTAGTGAGATCAGAGCTGCTTTTCCAGCCCTCCCTCTTTCTTCCCCAACACCCCCCCTCTCTGGCGTACTCCCTCTCTCCCCTGCTCTGACCGTTCCTCTCTCGCCCGCGACGTGCCTCACTTTGTAACAAGACACCAAACTGGGCCCTAACGTCTCTGCTGAAACGGAATCTGCTGCGGCGCAGCGTGAGGATGGGAGGGAGAGCAATGCGACGTACGCAGAGTCCCATCAGTGTGGAACTGTGATCAGATCAGAACAATAGAATAGAAATGGTCAGATTATTACCAGCAGATGCAGGTGTTGTGCTTTTGCCTCGATGACGGGCTACAAAGGGACCCTAATCGCGTGACATTTTTGCAAGCGATCGGGTTTAGGTTGCACCATCCCAATTTTAAAATAAAAAGATATCGTAAATGGTGGAGAATTAAAATGTATTATTAATGTGAACAACAAACAAAAATATAAACAAATGGAGAGGTCACACACCTTCTTAGATTAGGTCTTACATGTATACCCTTGTTTGTGAATTTCCCTATTACCCAAGAAAAAGACTGACTTTGAATATCATACATGATTGAAGTCCATTTTCTTGAAAAGCAGGCTTGAAGGTAGCCTTCCAAAATCCATCATGTCCATGTCGAACAGTACATTTCTTTTAAACTAACAGTGACAGTGATTTTGAGCATATAAGATAATGACAATTCATACAGGGGGGTTAATCTTCTTTTCTTTGGCAAAGACTAAAACAACCATAGTTTTGAGCCGCAGAAACAATCAACAATTGTCTGCAGAACAACAACAACAGCTTTCTATAAGATTAAAAGTGAAGATAAAAGACCGCTTCATAGCGGGTGGAGATAGGTAGAGGAGGAAGCACCCTGAGGGAGAGGGTTTGGAGATCCATCCTTGCGACAGAGTTGTGCTCTATGCTTGGCATGAAGACCTGTTTATCTGCAACTGTCCCCTGTCCTGCAAATCCCACTTTCTCCGCAGTATGCACCTAAAAAGGATTTTTTTTAAAACAGAAAAAAATAGTCTGCATAAATATTAAAACATCTTTGTGCTGTAGCTCGGCTAAACGGGAGCAATGTTTTCTTTTTTTTGTTTCCTTTAATCTCTTTCGCACCTGACCCCATTTTTGTGACTGCACGCAGAATGACGTCACCACATTGCCGGAGTTGTTCCCACCAATCACATGCAGCCTGTCGGTGGCACCCAGGAAGTACAGAGCGGGGAGGTCTGCAGCGGCTCTGGTAAGGGTGGGAAGCAGTTCACACCAGGAGTCTAACAGAGACAACAAAGCAGCACCATTCGTCAGTCCAGTCTTAAAATGGACAGTAAGTACAAGCTTTCTAGGCTGTATGAAAAAAGAAAAAAACGTATTCCTCTTGCAAAACCACGCCGTGCTCCTCTGCCTTACCTCTCCTCGTGTCGTACTGCAGTAGCAGTTTCTCTCCGGTCCTCTGGATGCTCCCCAACACATAGAGACAGTGTCCCAGGCCAGTGGCAAGGGGCACGTCGTGGGACAAGGACACGGTGAAGTCATTGAGTGGCAGTGAGGAGACAAACCTAAAGCAGAGATTATATTCAGATTATGTCTAATGCACCAACAAATAATCAAAGGTGGCATCACACATCTGTACAATAATGTGTTTTCAGTCCCCCCCCCCCAACACTATTACTGATAAAGGAGGACACAAACCTCCATGTGTCCTCCCATGGATCATAGCATTCTACAGCTGTATAAAGAGCCGTGTTGGAGTCTGGGGTCACCAGTGAGTCCAAGTACCAGCCTCCCACAGCGTAAATGCAGCCCTCACAGGCCACTGCACTGAAGTGCCTTCTGTGCTGTGGATGCAACAGATGGGGACAGTTTTCATTCGTGCCAAAGAAACAACGGGGGGAAGGGGGGAATCTTCGGTGGAGACATCTGGCTGATCCACACGGTTGAGGAGACTGGCTCACCTTGATCAGAGGCGCTGTTGGGAACCACGAATGAGTAAAGGGATTATACCTAAAGGAAGCCATCTTGAACTCCCAGCCTCTCTTAACAGGCTGCCGGTGGCCCCCCAGGATGTACAGATAGTTATGCAGGACCACTGCAGTGAAGCACCACTTATCAGCAGTGAAAGGAAGCTGTGTGATCGGATGCCAGCCCCCGCCGCCGTCCCCTGGTTCTTTAAGGGAGAACACGTGCTGGGCACGTTCGGTTTCTGGGTCACTCCAGGAGGTGAGGTTCTCTTTCCTGAGGCTGCAAAGACGTTTGTCTCCCAGTTTCCTCATTTGGACAACTTTGTCCTTCTCTGCATTAGTCAGACACCTGAGGGGTTGAATCGGTTTAAGGGACAAGGAAGAAAACACAAAGTCAGCTCTGTCCTCATGGTGAAATCCCGATTACAGCCCCAAAGATTCGTTCTCATGTATTACAGCTGCTGTTAAGCGCCGCGTACGTGACGAGGTGAGGAAGCTCCAGCAGGTTTCTACTCAGGTAGGTGAACACCGTCATCTTAAGCTCAAGACAGCAGATCTCCCGAGCCAGATTCAGGTAAGACAAGCAGTTACCTGGGCTGAGCTTATCCGCGAGGACAGACAAGCACCTTGAGAGGAAGGCCTCGGCCAGCAGATAGCTGCTGACCTGCAGAGTCATAGAGGAAGGAAACGGGAAGTTGGTTTTGGGGACGACTCACAACGCTGAGGGAAATCACGCCATACGTCAAGTAGCGCGCATATACCTGGATGTGTGTGCCCAACTCCTCCTGAGGGACATTGAACTGACCAAGGAAGGAAAACTCAAGGAGGTTGCGAAAGACGGAGGAAGACACGTGTTCAAGGTGGACGAGGCTTTCCGAGGTCTCTCTCATTGTGGATCGGGACAGGGCTCGGAAGTACTCACTGCACTCGGAGAGTCTGCCAAGATCAACCTTAGTAATGAATTATGTTTAAAAAAAACAAAGTTTCTGCAGCTGTGGGTTTTTTTTTCTTCCTTTCTCATACAATTGTGTTTTGTTTTATACTTACATGGAATGCACATGAGCTGGTTTGGACTGTCACCGTGGTTTCCTCTCCACCTCCAGGAGGATACGTGCAAAGCGCCTCATTGGTTTTCCACTCGGAGTCCACTTGGCCTGATCCCGTATCGGTGACACCCGGGGACGCTGAGTGTCTCTTGACTCCAGGAACTGCTCCCCAAAGCCTTGTGAGAGTCTTTTTCAGCCATAAACCTACCCAACTTAAAAGTATCATAACGCGCTTCCTGAGGGGGGTTGTCACACTGGCATTGTGTTGTTTGGATCCAGGTTTAGACATTATAACAGGTTTATTACCGCCTGTGTGTGGTATTTGTTAAAAACAGGCAACGCACCGCTCACACAACCACTGCTCCAATCACACTACAGAATGGCACCGTAAGACTTGGAAATAAGGGACGACGAATCCTATGACGAATTTCAATCAATCGAGGATGCAGGAGCAGTTTAGTCCTTGTTCCAGTCTTGTCTCCGTCACGTACTCTTGGACACACACACACACATCGAAACCGCTGAGAGGAAAGATTTAATGGCACGCGCCAACAGAAACACTTGATTAAGGAAAACAGTGCAGCGCACAGCAACATTAAACATCAATGCCTTTGTGTCGGAGACTGACCCAGTCGATTCAGAAGTGTCCGTTGATCTTTGAGCAGCGTAGTTATTTTTCTGGCTGGTCTATTTTAAGCACCTGGAGAGAGGAGGGTCACACAGTCAGCTGTACCAACTCTCCAACTCTGCTCCTGACAATACCATGTTCCTCGTTTGCAGTTCAGAGCGTGACTTTATGTTCAACAAAATGCATAAATGCGTTTGGTAAAATATAATTTTTATAGTTGGATGCAGAGCAGGATATGAGACAAACAGTACAGCACCGATACTGGCTATGAGCACAAGTTATATTTCTGCAGTGCAAAGAGGACGGAAACACCACCGAGCCGCGTTACCAGAATGGAACAATGTCGCTTTCAAATTAAAAGGTTAAAAGCTAGTTGAGTTTCTTTTCAGGATAAAACTATTTCTAGAACGGTCGAAATAAGAAAATAGGTACCAACAAAATGCTAAAAGCCTAATACACCACATTCATTCACTTAAACTCAAAAGGAATGCCATGATGAGATTTTATCAAAACATACATTTTTATTAATCTTTTATCTATCCTCAGCAATTCCTGGTCGACACGATTACATACATTTGCATTGGACATTTGAGTTAACTTAATGCAAGAGGTCAGAAAGACAAATAAAAGACACAAACAAAAGTATATGCTGAACTAAAGATAGTCAGTACAGTTAAAAGGTGCAGTTAATGGGTGAATAATAATAATTGCAAGCTATGCACTGTATACTACAAGTATACTATTCTCCTAATTAAACGTTATTGTTGACGTTGATACTGTATCAAATAGCCCTTGTGCAATAACTTGCAGAATGTGGTTAAACCTTTAAAAATGCTCATGCAGAATGAATATCAGATGAAAGATGTGAGGTAGAATAACCAAAAAAACAATAAAGCACACAGAAACCGACCACGTGGAATATGATTGGTGTGGTATCCCAAAATGACAAAAACAGTAAAATTAACAGAATGGATTTTAAAGACATTACAATGGCGCAAAATTAGATGGCGCGGGCCTTGCAAATGATTAACGATAACATTCGATGCTAAAGAGCTGTTCTGAAATAAATATCCTACAATGGGAAGAGTTGCTTCAATGTCCGTCTAAATGTCTATCTTTCATCCAACACTGCTTGTGATGAGCAAAGCTGCATAATAGTGGAGTTTCAATAATATAACACAGACATTACAATCTCATTAAGATGGAGGAAGTTCGGAGAAGAGCTTTTTTTGCTTGATGTAGGCGTCAAACCGACACAGAGCATAGTCCTGCAAAACAATACGGTTTACCATGAGCAAGGTTTACTGAAGCAATCTGCTGTATTGAAACAAATGTACATGTAGGATGGTGGCATGTAAAAGAAAAGAAGGAATCTCCGTACCATGTATCCAAACTCGATCTTGGATATCTTGGCTTGAATGATGGACCACAGCCCCCACAGGAAATGGGATGCTAACGCATACCTACAAATCAAAACAAAAAACAAAATCAGGGTTCTGGTGATTCATTTTATAAATGTTAACCGCACACCGCTGTTGTAAATCATGTGTTACCTGTTCGCTTCGAGAATCAAATCTTCTTCCATCTGTGTTTGGTCCGGAGTCGTGTCAGAGTGTCTTCTCTGCTCTGCCAAATAACCTCTGATAAAATGAAGCTGAAAAAAAAAAAATCAAAATGTGTTTTCATAAATGTTATTACCAGTTGATTTATTACATCCTCATTTGTTTAAGCCCTTTCTGCTCCCCCACACAACAGTGAACATGGCAAAATAACGCAACAATTTCATCTCTTTTTGTTCCATTCCTTCAATTATTTTTGTTTCATTTGGAGGCAGTTTTTTTATTTTTCAAGCAATCAGTTGAGTGTACAGAAAGAGGAATTACCATTTAATGAATGGTTATAGCTCCATCTTGAACACCACATTGCATTACTAGGTTCTGCCACTAGGTGGCCCTGGGTGGTTCCGTGAGGACTACCTGGGTCACACTCCAGATGGGCAGTGACTGCTTTCAATGAAAGAATCCCTAACGACAGCGCAGGTTGAGAAATCAGCACTGTAGCATATAGAATCGGAGCATCACGGGGGAAAGTGAGCGGAAAATGCAACGTCAACTTCAAATCAAATCAAACAGGGTTTACCGGAGTAACACAAAGATACGTATGCTGTGATTAAGCAAACGTTCATCTAATGCATTTAATGTTTTGGAATTAAAGTGATGATATTGTTTTTATTCATTCAAAATGTTAACCACCACTTCATATTTGACTCTCTTGTTCTAGCAAAGAGGTGTTTCTCTGTGATTGTGGACAGACACTTCTTTACAGGTGTACAAAAGAAAGCCACCCACCCCTTTACACCACTGGTCTGTAAAGGTACAAGTAGATGAATAGCCTAAATCTCTCTTTAGTTTTGACTGACCTGCTGCTCTCTGGAGGGATAGTTCTCTGCTATGGCTTTGTAGAAGGGCCACTGGTTGTAGGTGTAGTCGTACATCCACTCACAGAAATGGTTCCCAAAGTCAAAACCCCTACACACAAAACAAAATGTAATAGTGTTTATTATTAATAAACAAGGGCACAATTTACCATTGGAGTTCAAACTAAACTGTCAATGCGGTTGACGTGTAGCTTATTCGATATGCTGAAAACCTTTTAAGTTTACACTTTACCTGTAATTGTAACTGCTGTACTCAAAGTCGATCAGCATGAGTTTATCCAATGAGTTGTGGTCCTCATCTTCCAGCATCAGAATATTACCTGCAGCGGCACAACAAGCCAGTGGCAAAGCAATCATCATCATCATCATCATCCATACTCTCTCATCTGACCTACTGTGAGCTTTAGAACAGGGGACAGTTTAGCGTGGCTACTATAAGATACCCTTTCTGTTGTATTGACAAATATCAAAACTATTTAGACTGATCACCACAAACACATGGTTTGGAGTTACAATAACTAGCATTGATATGTCTGAATGCACAAAACCAGGTCAACAATGAACACAATATTTTAGAATAAGATTATATTGGTATATCTGCATACGTCACAATCCCACGTGGGTTTGATGTTCTAGTGTCCACGTGCTGCCGGTTGACCTCAGGCTGCCTGCTCTGAGACGGTCCCAATCATTAGAAACATAAATCCCTGACTGCCACCTCATCGACACATTTCCGATCGCAGGAGGATGCCAGTGAATGTCAGCCGTTTCTATTAATACCTCTGCCCCCCCCCCAGCCTTCTTTGACTTCTGTTCTATATTGCTCTCCCAAGCCTAATCCTGACACTGAGGCCGGAGAGACAATCAATGATCAAACGCGAGCAATAACAGGACACGATTTTACCTTCCTGCACATCGTTGTGGCAGAACACCACTGGCGAGGGAGTTGCTGCCAGCAACGCGCTGTTGTGGCGCCAAGAGCCGGATGAACACAGTAGATGGTGACAGGAAACAGGAGAGGATAAAAATAACGTCAGCAACGCAGTGCAACTTCTTTTTCTGGTTTTCTGTGAGTTAGCCACATGTAGACAACGCGTACTAGCAAAAGGCAATCACAAACAAGTTGTGTTATCAGCTGGGGCACATATCCAAAAATCCAAATTCATACGTAAGCTGAAAGAAATGATGCAATGAAATGTGAAATGCATTCAGATGAGCAATTAGTCAGGGGATTTCTGTGAAGAGGCGGTTACATGTAATCTCCAGCTGCATATCTACAAGATAATAAATGTTCTCATTGATAAAACTGACGATAAGCACAGGGTTGATTTTCTGTTGACTGCTGAGGTCAGACTGCTTGGAGGACTGAAGCCGTGGAGGCATTAGGACAAAGGTCAGCCATTAGACTGAAACAAAAACAAAAAACGCTGCTTATATATTACAAAGAACTATACATAATGTTTCAGGCCGTAAACTGGGATATGGTTTGAATTCAAGCCCATGTTAGAAAACACAGTACTGAATTTGCTGTCTCACATTGGTTTTCAGGATGAGGTTCTCGGGGTTACTTTGCTGCCTCATTGGCAGAAGAAAATGTCCACAAACAAAAGTACCCGTTCAATATTCCTCTAACGCTCCTTTGATCGCCTGCGACATGACGGTGAATCAAACATTTGTTTTTTGTGGCCTTCTGACGTTTGCAGTTGAACAGGCGAGGATGCCCCCCTGTCTAAAGCCTAGAGGGACATTTTTGTGAGCACACATCCAATATGTTATATCGTATGTCCAGTATGAACAGTAACAACATTTTTTTTGACAATAATAATTTGCATGATCATCATTCTGCTACTGGTCTTCAATGTAGTTTTGAAAGTGACTGGTAAACACTTTATTTATAAGGAGGCCTGTGTCTTTTGTTGACTATGGTAGGTACTGAGAGGAGGGGTAAGGAGATGCTAGAGGTATCTATCTCCACTATTTCCTTAGCTACCACAACTTTAGTGCTGTAGGTGTACCATATGCATTAAGTCCCTCCATGCAACATAAAACTTTGAAGAACTTGGCCAAGACTCACCGCAGGCTCTCTAGCTCAGCAGGTAGGTCCAACTTCATCAGCTTCTTGTACTTCTTAACGTGTGCTTCACGCACAAAATTGATGGACATCACTTGATCCAAGTATCTGACAGCGGCAAAAAAACAACAACACGACCGTATTATTTCATCATCAAAAAATAGGCCGTTCTGGTTACAGACAGAAATTGATTTCAGGGCCTTCTTACTTGTTTAGGGTTCCAAAGAGCCACTTAGGCTCTTTGTTAAAGGGCATGCTCATTTCATGGAAACGCGCTAACTTGGTGGCAATCTCCGCTGAGATGGCTGGATCTGAAAGTTGATCCGTGCGCATGCGAGAATTCTGTAAAAACAGAGAAGTGCAGATGAAACAAACGCTTTCTCTACATATGATAAACAAGTTAAAGTGAATACACTGGGGTTTGGAGTTTGTAATCAAAGCACAAAAAAAGGTTTTCAATTGAATGTGCACATTCAACCCATTGGCTGTTACAAACATGTATGTTATGGAGGTCAAGGATATGTGTCACTATGTCACTCTAAACAGGTGTGGAGGTGTGCGTTCTTACCGGAAGGTACTGTTCTAAGCGTCCTTCTGGGAAGATGCCGTAAAGCTTCGGTCCTAGAGTTCGTTCGGCCAGGATCGCAAACATCACGCTCTCCAACACCAGTGAGTCCACTCCCTGCGTCACGTTACGTGTCAATTAGGTGACGCTTTTATCCAAAGCGACTTTCAATAAGTGCATTTCAACCATGAGGATACAAACTCAGAAAAACAAGAAGGTGAAAATCCATCAAATAAGACAATTTATAACTTGCTATAGACATTAGACGAGCCATTTTGGTCCTGATGTCTTCAGAGAGCTCATTGCACCATTTAGGAGCCTGAGAGGCTCTTTTTGGTGTCGTTCATACGTCCACGTGAAGGAAAATGCAATAACGGTATGCAATTTTCTCCCTATAATATTTAACATGTCCTTATTGAGGACCCTTCCTGGACCGGCCCACCTGTAAGATGGCCCCATAGACTCTTAGGAGCACCTGGTGAGGTTCCTCTCCACCAGGCTGCACATGGTCAGGCAAACTGCACAAGTAGAGCAGGTTACTCAGTCCACCACTGGGGAAGCAAAAACAACGGCGTTATCACATTAGAGAAAAGTACATTGGACCCATAGAATGCGGTTGTAAATATTAGTCACAAATACCAACACTACATGTACAGTAATATATATGCTATTATAAGCTATTACAACCCAGACACATTGTCCATGTATTTAACCCCCATCAACCTACGATAATCTAACCGTCTAATCTATAGAACAAATAGACTGTGCCTTATTCCTCCACGTGCACGGCCTTGTTTGTGTCGTATTAGATTCATACTGAAGAAGACAACCCTCCGCAGTGTATTAATATTTAACGTTACCCTTTAGCGACCAGTTAAAGAAAGAATGGACCTACAGCTGCAATTGCCAGTGATTACCTGACGATGCTGATTTGAAAATCCCCCTCTTTGATGGTCTTCCAGGACCCTGACAGGAAGTCTCGGCACCAAGTAAACGCCCTGGCCCTGGTGTCCCGGTCCACCCCCTCGGTTCTCCCATCTTTGAAAGCCTCCGACTCGGAGTCGTCGTCGCAACCCGCCGCGAGCAGGGGACTCGGAGTCCTCAGTCGTCTCTCGTTAACGAGGAGCGCGTTTCCCACTCGGATCTTCTCCGCCGGAAAAGCCGGAGCCTCCGCTGTGACCGCCGGGACGTTGTTGAAAAGCCCCGGGCCCCCGGTGTCTGCTCGGCCCGCGCAATGGCTGCTGGTGGTCACATTTCGAGTCGACTGCATCGCGAGTTCCCGGGCAAAGAGTAAAGGAAGACCGGTGTGAAGTGTCGGTCTCGGCCGGCACAAGAGACTCGCTGACAACCGCAGTTCACCGCTTAGGCGAGTTAGCCGGAATAGCCTAACATGGGTGGATGATACGAGCCTCATGGGGGAGGAGTAGATTTACGGTAGACGACGGGCAGGAATCGCATCCGCATCCGCAGGCGCTGGCCCGCTGCGCACTCTATGGAAACGACCATCGCTTTGTGATTTCCGGGTTGGTGCGTTTAGCTGATTGGCCATTGCGAGTTCATGACGTAGGTCAGCTTCCCGGTGAACTGAAGGCTTCTGGGAAATGAAGTGTTTTCAGCGTATGAATGGTCTCGTGGTTTCATAGACATTTGTATGAATCATTTTATTGTTGTAATGCTGCTTCCAACAGGCTACAGAAATTGTTTAGCTTTTGAAATATTACTATCAGCTTTTTTCATCTTTCTTACTCTTATGCTTGAATTAATAGAAATAAATATCATACTATATTTTTCATTGTTTTCCTATTTGTTCCTCTTAAACGTATTGAACTTATTTAATACATCCCCTTCTTCAATATTTCAGCCACAGTCACCATGTAAACGTTGACAAATGAAAACAAAATCTAGGTATCTATTTGGCTTTTTTCAATATAACTTGTTATTATAATTATTATTATTGTTTTGAGTTTTTCAGACCGTTTCTGTCTTTCTATTGGAGTTCATACTGTGAAATTTCAAAATTACCTAATCCTAATGGATTGCAGTGACTTCAAGTGATAAAAACATACTCATATTGTCTGTCTCTGGCAATTATTCCGCAGGGTCCCGTAGAAACTTATAAAAGTTTTTTTAAGTAAATAACATCCAAGGTTGCAATTATTTCTGAAACAAATAATAGAGAAAGTGCTGCCGTTTTTTTACAGTAAAGGTTAGTTTATTGCAAGTAGTGACACCTTTACATTTTTGGGTTAGATTCTTAATAAGCTCATACAGAGGTCCGTTTCAAGAAGCGGGTTTAGTGGAAACTCAGAGTTTGTTAAACCTCCTACTTGAAACGGACCCCAGGTCTTTATTTTCTCCCCCCCCTCCCTCCCTCCTCTAAACCACAGTATGATCCCTAAACAGATTTTAACCCTTGACCCCAATGTTAGGAGCCATTGTTGAACCCCCAATTATGTCAAATTTGATTTCTTCATATCAGAGTCAATTATTAATAAATATAAATGTGTATAGTAGGAGTTAAATAGACAAAAGGTTGTCAAGAACAGTGGCATCATCCGTTGGGGACTGGATACAATAACTTCATCCATCCATCCATCCATTGTCAAACCGCTTATCCTGCACACAGGGTCGCGGGGGGGCTGGAGTCCATCCCAGCCAACTTCGGGCGATAGACAGGGTACACCCTGGATTGGTCGCCAGCCAATCGCAGGGCGGATACAATAACTTATATATAAGTTATATATATACCTACATACATACCCATAAGCACAGGGACGAGAGGAAATTGGGAAAAAGGAAAAAAAAAAAAAAAAAAAAAAAGAAGGTAAAATGGGTCTGATTGGACTGTACTTTCAATAACTAAAAAAATCCTGACAACATTCATGTGCTCGTCTCCTATGCTGTCGTTGATGTGTTGAACTTCTTCCATTTCTCCCATTTGTCATGACATTGTTCCTCTTTGGTTCTTATATTGTGGGTTAACAGTTCCATATCGTATAGTTCACTCACTATCTTCATCCATGCCTCTATAGTTGGTGGTTCCGTCCTGTGCCATCTCTTTGTGATGGCCTTTTTGCTAGCTGCCAGCAACATTTTCTGTCATCTTCTGTTAACACATCCTCTCCTGTAATATTACCAAGATAGAGAAACATACATGACTTAGGTACGGCATAGCCCAGGATTCTGACACTAGTGTTATGAACATTTTCCCAGAATTCAATCATTTCTAGACAAAGCCAAAATACATGATAGTGGTTTACAGACACTTGTTTGTAATATGGGGGGGTAATAAAGAATCTGATTACATTTTTCCAACAGGGCTGCCTCCACATCCACAGTGAGGATGTTGAGGATTGTTCTGTCTTCCAAATATTTAACCATTCATCCTTTGTGATACTTCAAGTTCTTGAAGTGAGTATCCAGTTGACCCCATGTCAACTCCAAGTTTGACATCGGGTCGTTGTGGTGCTGGGGTTAGAGAAGGTGTGCTGGGAAGCACAAGGTTGGTGGTTCAACTCCAGGCTGCCCCATGTTCCATGTTGAGGTGTCCCTGAGCAAGACACCTAACCCCTAATGTGTGAAAGCCATGGGTTTAAAGTGTAATATAAGTTGCTTTCGATAACAGTTTCTTCTAAATGACATGAAATGTTCCCATTTTTGTTTTATATAAGATAATGTTTTTCCTAGATTTTCCATCAGGTGTTGATATAGGGTCGATATGATCAATAGCGATGAACTCCCATTATGGTTAATCACGTAATTAACCGTAATAATTAATGGTAATTATTCCATTATTCCATTGTTTATTTTATGCTTTATTTTCCTGTCCAAAAAATCCCTTAATTATAGATATCTGAAGTGGTCCTGGTCGTTTAGTGTGTATTTGTCTTTCAGCTCCTGGAAGCTTACCACACTTCCGTATTTGATAATTGTGCATATTTGTCACACCTGTAGGTCAAGTTGGGCTTCTGTTCCGTCTCAATGGTTGTTTTGTGACTTCTTGTTTTATTTGGATAATTAACCCTCCTCTCGTTTCAGGTTCCTGGCCCCTCCTCATGTGTCCCCAGTCTGATTGTCTTCCCCGATTCCTGATTGTGTCCACCGGTTCCCATACTTCCCTCATGTTTAATGTTATGTCCTTTTGCCGGGCACACCTGCCCCAGGAAGGATTCATGCCCAGGTCACAGGTTTTGCTCTTGCTGAGCCACCTTGAGATCTCCATAGATGATCGTGAGCCTTTTATAGTTCTACAGCTCCTCACGTTTGTTTAGTGCCTTAAACAGATTGTCTTTTTTTTATTTCCTTGATAAGCGAGAGTTTGGCTTTTTCTTTTCGTTTCCTAATCCGCTCGCTCAGTTTTGCTGGAGCATTTTCCATTTCTCTCTCTTCGTAGAAGTCCAGAGTCGTCCCTGCGTTTTTTGTTGGACAATAAAAACTTCTACTGAACCTTAACTCTGCATCCGAGTCCTCACCTAGAGTTCCCCGTGACACATGTTGCTGTTATTCAATATCTATTGTTTAAACTGTTGGGGGAAAATTGTTGAGCCTGCGTGGGGTGAGGCTCTCAGGAATGTGACCTTTGATGTGAGCCGGTGACTTAAGGCAGTCCAGGGTGAGATAAGACACAGATGAAATCATACGTGCCCTGACTGACCTTTTAGATGTTGTTGATTGACCGGGTCCTTTAAGGGAGGGTCACGGGGTCACCCCTACGTCGTCTGGTACTTTTACAAACACTCCTCTTTGAGGGGTGGGCTCTCCTGTGCTGAGGCAGCACAAACCTCCCTGAAGTGTATATAAGCTCCTGTTCTCCTCTTCAACTTGGTCAGATCTTCCTGCTCCTTTTGGGGGAAGGAACATCTGTCCCTTTTCAGCTGAATTGTAGTCATTTGACTTCTGTCTGTGCTTACGACTTGTGCTGATGATTTCTGTATTCTTTATCATTTTTCTATATTCTAGGTAGTAATAAATACTTAATCACAAAGCAAGTTTAAGATACTTTTGATTTCTCACAAGGGATAAATCTACAAATTTCCACCACATGAACCTCTGATCAAGAATACCTGGAATGAAATGTGTATTGTAGGCTGTCCATCGCAGGGGCCCGAGCTCCTCCTCTAATCATTTTTTCCTTATTACATTACATTACATTACAGGTCATTTAGCAGACGCTTTTATCCAAAGCGACTTACATTACATTACATTACATTACATTACATTACATTACATGTGACTTACATTACATTACAGGTTTTATTACTTTAAACCACAGCTCTAATGTAAATCGGGTGACAACGTCCATCTGTTCAAGTAGATGTTTTGCCATAATTCTATCTCCAAAAAGGCTTTGTATTTCCCTTCCCTCATGTTTACTTATAGTCTGCGTCTCCTCTTGTCTTGTGCCAGTGTGTTATGTCCTTTTGCAGGGCACACCTGCCCCAGGAAGGATTCATGCCAAATTCTATCTATAATTCTATCTCCAAAAAGGCTTTGTATTTCCCTTCCTTCTAAAATTACCTAATCCTAATGGATTGTAGTGACTTCAACTTTAGTTTACTTTAAAGAAAAAACATACTCATATTGTCTGTCTCTGGCAATTATTCCGTAGGGTCCCGTAGAAACTTAGAAAAGGTAATAAAGAATCTGATTACATTTTTATCCTCCCTTCCCTCTTTCCAATCTGTAATGTTTCATATTTGATTCTTGGCTTTTGGCTATTCCATATAAACCTTGAAATAATTTTATCCCAAGCTCTGAATTACTTCTCAGGGATCTCGATTGGAAGTGATTGAAAGCAATAGAGGAGTTTTGGAAGTATGCTCATTTTTATAGTATCCATCTGTGAGCTGAGATCTAACAGGAAACAGCCCACCTCTCCATGTCACTCCTCATGTCTTGATCCATTTTGGTATAGGTGGCTTTATATAGATCATCAATAATTTTTGTTATAGTTACTCCGAGGTATGTCATTCTTTTAGAACTCCATTTTAAGTTTAGAGTTTGTTGTATACTTTCAGAAGGTTTATAATTTATTGTTAGGATTTCCGTTTTCGACAGATAATTAGTATCCGGAGTGAGAACTGAACGTCTCGAGTTGATCGATTAATTGGGGCAGAAATCTATGGGGGTCCTTTAAGTAACAGATCACGTCATCCGCAAAAAGCCTACAATGTGTTCTTCCTTTCCAACCTTTATTCCTTAAGGTCTTTATTCTGCCTAACGGCTTGTTAAACATAACAAATAGAAAGACAACATCCCTGCCTGGTGGACCGCTCCTACCTATACTAACAGTCAGACTGCCATTTATTTTTATCCCTGCAGTTGGGTTATGGTAAAGTGTTTTGACACATTGAATAGCTTTTTTGCTTAGTCCAAATTTCCCCCACACCTGGAATAGTGAATTCCAGTTTACCCTGTCGAATGCCTTTTCTGCATCAAGGCTTAATAAGGCCGCAGTGATGTTTTCACGATAATGTGCTCAATTATATGTAGTGTTTTCCGTATGTTATCCTGGGTTTGGCGCCCCTTGATGAAGCCGGTCCTCATCTATAATGTCCTTCATAAAGTGTGTATATATCTTTACAATAATTAAAGTATATAATTTATAGTCTATATTAAGTATTGCTATAGGTCTGTACCTAGAGTAGCTATCATTGTTCTTTCCTTTAGGAATCACCGTTATTATGGCCTCCTGTGGAAAGGTTTTTGACAGCTAGGCATGTGATCTGCAATGATACGCTTTAAGGCTACTTCTAACCCGGAAATAATCAGAATAATCAAACAACAAAATTCAGAATATAAATTCAAATATTTATTTGAAATTCAAAGACTTTATTAGTAAGCATCTAGAACAGATATTTCATGTATAAGTTCTGTCTGCATGTTATTAACAAATACTCATTCTTGGTTGGTGATGACAAGCTCCATACTGCTAACCACGGTGTGAGCTCTGGGGCCTCCTTTGCTCGAAGCAGCAATGTCTCTCTCTGTGTACAATACATGGGAAAGGACAGTTGCAGTCAGACTTGAAGTGGAGGATTCATGCATGAGCATTTGTTTTTACCACAAGCCATGATGTTCCTCTATGGAAAAGCATCATCTATCCAATTCACTATATTTATTTTTGTCAAAAACAAGGGCAAGAGACTTCAGAATAACACACACATTGATGGTGTAAATACCAGTGTAGTATATGGCGTACTACTCACTCGTTCTGCTTTCAAAGCATTTGGGTTCACAGTTATTTCCGGGAGTCAGTTGGCACACAGCTGTGTTGCAGTGTATGTACACCTAGTAAATATAAAATATATCGTTTGAAAATATTCAGATATGGTGATATTAACAAAATATATAAAAAACGAATTAACCTGAAGATAATTTTGTCAAAAAGCTTGATTCTATACCTTTTCGTTGCGAGGCATTAGAACGGCTGGATCTGAAGGGCCTTTCACTCCCTTGCTGGGATTGGACGGTGTAGCAGCTACAAATGTGAACATCTTGAAAACAAAACGTTTGTGGTGGGATGGGTACAAGACATTTGGTGACGCGTTTACATGGGCCAGGGTGGTTTGGTAACGGTCATCGTTGTATGGGCAGCTGTGGCAAGAAGAGAGAATATAAAATAGGGACTGGAATCAACATAAAAAGTGTATAATAATCACCATTTTCAACAGTTACTCTTACCCATTGATCAGCAAGTCCCACTGAGGAAGGCTATGAGCGTGGGGGTTAGAAGTTGCCCAACATCTTCCAAGAGTCAAGACAAGGTTGGGATCTGTCCTCTCCAGCATTCGAACTTCAACGTACACAGGATCCCTGAGCACTTTAGTGATGGGGTAGTCGGCATCCACGTAAAAGGAGTTGAAGGCCACATCCTCTGCTCAAACAGAACGATTGGGTGTTGAAGAACTCACTGGAAAAAACACTGCACAAAGTATCTCCTTCACACTAACCTTCCCGACAGCCCTTGGTGACACACTGTCCGTTGCCCAGCCTCAGCTCCACACGCAGAGGTCCAGGAGCTGCAACTGAGGATGGTGCCGGAAGAGGGCCAACCTCAATTGTTACAGCCATAACAGTGCTGCCAATGTATTTACACTGGACAATCAGCCTGACACAAGAGATAACGTCCATGTTAGTCAGTCAGAAAACTATTGGAGTTCATATTGTAATATCACAATTAGCTAACCCTAAAGGATTCCAGTGAATTAAAGGTCAGTATACGTTATCCTCTGGAAACCACTGATTTGTTTGAAAATGTAGCCGTAGCCGAGCAGTAGAAGTAGAAATCTTTTTATGTTGTGAGCACTCAGTGTTGAAGAAAGAAAAACATACTCATAACGGCTGTCTCTGGTAATCATTCCGTAGGGTCCCGCAGAAACGTCATATAAGGAGGACATCCTGTTCTCATAGATAAGAACTCCAGGTTCCTCCTACAGTAATATGGATTGTATTTCAATCTTCATAACTACTTGAAAATGAAATTATTATATTAATATATTAACTGTCTAATGAGTTGCAACACTCACCTTTAGGACGGTGCCGCAACCAGTGGCAGGGAACTGGTAGACCGCAAAGTGTGATGTGGTGTCAACAGGACTACAATTTGGTCCATCTCCATTGAAATGGATTGAGTCCAAATCCATGAAGGGTATGGTGGCCGCTTTGGACACCACAATGATGATTTGGGCATCCTTGGTGCACTGAAGAGTCACTGAAATCAAAAGATCGAAAGCATGCTATTGCTATCATCTTTGTATATATCCATATAATTCAGAAAGAAATACAAAAAAGGCTTACCAGCTTTGCTGTAATAGCACATTTGTCCCTGATAGCAGCAGTTTATAGCTTGACAATCTAAAGAAGTAATGTCAGGAGGTCCACATGGTATCCTGGCTTTATCATCTACGCCACAATTGTCATGGTTCTCTATATATGATGGCTGCTGAGGCTGCTGAGGCTGCTGAAGCGTCTGTGAATCCGGTATTTGCCATGGATGCTGGGGCTGCTTAGGCTGCTGAGGCGTCTGTGGGTTCGGTATTTGCCATGGCTGCTGAGGCTGCTTAGGCGGCTGAGGCGTCTGTGGGTTCGGTATTTGCCATGGCTGCTGAGGCTGCTTAGGCTGCTTAGGCTGCTGAGGCGTCTGTGGGTTCGGTATTTGCCATGGCTGCTGAGGCTGCTTAGGCTGCTGAGGCGTCTGTGGGTTCGGTATTTGCCATGGCTGCTGGGGCTGCTGGGGCTGCTTAGGCTGCTGAGGCGTCTGTGGGTTCGGTATTTGCCATGGCTGCTGAGGCTGCTTAGGCTGCTGAGGCGTCTGTGGGTTCGGTATTTGCCATGGCTGCTGGGGCTGCTTAGGCTGCTGAGGCGTCTGTGGGTTCGGTATTTGCCATGGCTGCTGAGGCTGCTTAGGCTGCTGAGGCGTCTGTGGGTTCGGTATTTGCCATGGCTGCTGAGGCTGCTTAGGCTGCTGAGGCGTCTGTGGGTTTGGTATTTGCCATGGCTGCAGAGGCTGCTTAGGCTCCTGAGGCGTCTGTGGGTTTGGTATTTGCCATGGCTGCTGAGGCTGCTTAGGCTGCTGAGGCGTCTGTGGGTTCGGTATTTGCCATGGCTGCTGAGGCTGCTTAGGCTGCTGAGGCGTCTGTGGGTTCGGTATTTGCCATGGCTGCTGAGGCTGCTTAGGCTGCTGAGGCTGCTGAGGCGTCTGACGCGTCTGAGGCTTTGTTATTTGCCATGGCTGCTGAGGCGTCTGTGGGTTTGGTTTTTGCCATGGCTGCTGAGGCTGTTGTGGCTGCTGAGGCTGCTGAGGCGTCTGATGCTTTGGTATTTGCCATGGCTGCTGAGGCTGTTGTGACTGTTGTGGCTGCTGAGGTGTTTCTGGGTTTGGTATTTGCCATGGCTGCTGAGGCTGTTGTGGCTGCTGAGGCTGCTGAGGCGTCTGAGGCTTTGGTATTTGCCATGGCTGCTGAGGCTGCTGAGGGTTTGGTTTTTGCGGTGGCTGCTGTGGCTGTTGTGGCTGCTGAGGCTTCTGAAGCTGCGGTATTTGCCGTGGCTTCTGAGGCTGCTGAGGCTGCTGAGGCGTCTGAGGCTTTGGTATTTGCCATGGCTGCTGAGGCTTCTGTGGGTTTGGTTTTTGCGGTGGCTGCTGTGGCTCTTGAGGCTGCTGAGGCTTCTCAGGCTGCTGAGGCTGCTTAGGCGTCTGAGGCGTCTGAGGCTTTGGTTTTTGCCATGGTTGCTGAGGCTGCTGAGGTGTTTCTGGGTTTGGTATTTGCCATGGCTGCTGAGGCTGTTGTGGCTGCTGAGGCTGCTGAGGCGTCTGAGGCTTTGGTATTTGCCATGGCTGCTGAGGCTGCTGATGGTTTGGTTTTTGCAGTGGCTGCTGTGGCTGTTGTGGCTACTGATGCGTCTGAGGCTGTGGTATTTGCCATTGCGGCTGAGGCTGCTGACGCTGCTGAGGCGTCTGAGGCTTTGGTATTTGCCATGGCTGCTGAGGCGTCTGTGGGTTTGGTTTTTGCGGTGGCTGTTGTGGCTGCTGAGGCTGCTGAGGTGTCTGTGGGTTCGGTTTTTGCCATGGCTGCTGAGGCGTCTGTGGCTTTGGGTTTTGTGGTGGCTGCTGAGGCGTCTGAGGCTTTGGTATTTGCCATGGCTGCTGAGGCTGTTGTGGCTGCTGAGGCTGCTGAGGCGTCTGAGGCGTCTGAGGCTTTGTTATTTGCCATGGCTGCTGAGGCGTCTGTGGGTTTGGTTTTTGCGGTGGCTGCTGTGGCTGTTGTGGCTGCTGAGGCTGCTGAGGCTTCTGAGGATTTGTTATCTTCCATGGCTGCTGAGGCTGCTGTGGGTTTGGTTGTTGCTGTGGCTGCTGTGGCTGCTGTGGCTGCTGAGGCTGCTGAGGCTTCGGTAGTTGCCGAGGCTGCTGAGGCTGCTGTGGATGCTGAGGCTGCTGAGGCTTCTGAGGCTTTGGAGTCTGCTGTGGCTGCTGAGGCGTCTGTGGTTTTGGTGTTTGCTGTGGCTGCTGAGGCTGCTGTGGCTGCTGAGGCTGCTGAGGCTTCTGAGGCTTTGGTATTTGCCATGGCTGCTGAGGCGTCTGTGGGTTTGGTTTTTGCGGTGGCTGCGGTGGCTGCGGTGGCTGCTGTGGCTGTTGTGGCTGCGGAGGCTGCTGAGGCGTCTGAGGCTGTGGTATTTGCCATGGCTGCTGAGGCTGCTGAGGCTGCTTAGGCGTCTGAGGCGTCTGAGGCTTTGGTTTTTCCCATGGTTGCTGAGGCTGCTGAGGCGTCTGCGGGTTTGTTATTTGCCATGGCTGCTGAGGCGGCTGTAGGTTTGGTTTTTGCGATGGCTGCTGAGGCTGTTGTGGCTGATGAGGCTGCTGAGGCGTCTCGGGTATCTGAGGCTTTGGTATTTGCCATGGTTGCTTAGGCTGCTCAGGGTGGTGGAGCCTCCTGAGCCTTCTGAGCTTCCTGAGCCTCCTGAGGCGTGGGTGGATATGTGAGCAGCTGAGGGATCCAACGCTTCTGGATAGACTGAGGTTTGATGGGAGTTAAAAGAATTGCCAAAAGACAACCAAAGAGCATCTTCATTGCCATGGCTTCACTGCAGACAGATTCACAAAGAACACCAGATGCTGTGAAAAATACTGTGTGAATTTTCTGACTTATATAAGGTATTGGTCATGTTGACTTGTTAATGACCCGCAACCTGTTTGGCGAACTCAACTGCCAATGAAATTCTCCAGTTACAGTTTGGTATGTGGTGGTGCACTAAAGATATTAGAAGTATTTCCAAAAAAAGAGACCAGAGAACAAATTACAGGAATTTCAGAGACATTGCAACAGGGGATTATAACAGTAGAGACAAAATTCACACCCTACTGTATAAACATACTACGTACTATGTAATACTTCAGTATGTAATTGAGAGAGCTTGCAGATCGTTGTATGATCCTGTATGTAAGAAATTCCAGCTTATGCAATTTCCAGCAACAGGGGTCTCTTTGACCGACAATATGCAGGTCAGGTTCTATTTGTACAGCAGGACAAAACAAATACTTCTTCTTTTCACAAAGTTTACTTACCGTTGCTGCAAAAATTTAACTGAATAGTCTCCTAATAAAACCAGCATAAAGACATACATACAGAGACAACATAAAGAGAACTTTATTAGTATTAGTATTACAAATTACAAAGTCAGGTGATTCCTTCCTTGCTATTATTTGATTTATTTTATTTGGACATAATCTGGATCTGTGAAGACACCATATTTCCACTAAATCCACTAAAGTCCACTGAATCCACTACATTCAGTTATTTTAGGTTGAAATGTGACTATGGCTACAATAGTCACATAAAATATGCATTTGTGTTGCTTTATAAAAATCTAATGCAGGTTGGATTGGTGAACGAACACAAAGGACTTCTGTACTTTGTTTGGAAATTTGAAATGTGACTGTGGTTATAGTGGAGAACGTCCTGCATGAGCCCAGAGATCTACTCCTTACTGCATAATATAAAGCACACCTTTGAGTTGCTTTGAGGGTCATCATAAACGTACAACGGTGCTCAGACACTGCCTGTAAACAAATAATTGCGTGTCAAGACCCAACTGAGAGGATGCTGTTATTTCGCAATTGAGTTCTTCACACAAACAATGTTTTCATCAGGTTTGAAATAACTGGCAATAACTTTTATAATAAAGACAAGCTACATGTTTTATTAGAAATGGAATTGGAATTTAGTTATTCCCAATTTTGAAATTATAGGATTTACTCGTCTCCTTTTTAATTGTTAGGGTTTTTTTTTTTTTAATAACCTGGTGTAATGCTCTCATAATCTGGTTGTGTATAATCCCCTCCACCTTCGCCGTCTCTAATTTCAAAGTCGTAATTTGAAATAGCGCTTATGTCGTCTTGAAACTCAATGATGCAGAAATGTGGGTTTGTTTGAATATTGAAGAAACGTATTCTGTCAACCATAACGCCAAATTATTATTTTTTAAAAAAAATATTTTTTGAACATATTCATGCGAAACAACAAGCGACTACAAGCTCAATCAAGTTTGATTTAAAAAACAATGTTTAGAAAACTATAATTAAATTATAATTAAACAACTTCATTGTCTTGTTGAAACTAGGCTAACCTTGAAGTAGAAGTAACTTGCCTTTTAAAGGCAGCAGGTGATCTTTCATTTCCAGGTACAACTGACTTGAAATGTTTGACAGTGTAATAACTCAAATATACCCCCCCGCCCCCCAAATGTTTCATGCACTAGTCCAGCCCCGAACATATGAGCAAGCAAGTAGTGACTCAGTCATCCCCCAACACCTAAACCCCACCCCATTTGTTACCCACAAACCATTTGCCATTGACACTTGTCAGAGACAGGTGGCACAGTGTTGTGCCATAGAAGGTTGTATGTCTTTCTGCGTGGAGTTTGAATGTTTTCCCCATGCCTGCATGTGTTCTATCTTACTGTGGCTTCCTCTTACAGTCTCTGCAGGATAGGTAAATTGGTTAATCTTAGCATAGCCTCAACCCCTGTCACAACCAATGAGCCATTGTGTGATATATGATTACACCCGGCAGAGATTTCCCATTAGTACCCCCGACTCATATGAAGTCATGAGTCCCCATTCGTCGCTGCATGCAGCTTCAAACACTTGTTGCTTTTTAAAAATTCAAATGAAGCCCTCTTTAGTTGAAAGTATACAGTGCAGAATTTGAAAGAGATATCCGAGATGTAGTTTGATAAATGATTACAGCTCCTTTTGCCACATTTTCATCTGGATGGTGTGGTGTGGACAATTTGCAAAATCATTGGATTAATAAAACTCTCTCTGCTCTGCATCTTTAACTGGTGCAGAGAGATGAATCCCTAAAACAAGTCAACATGTAATAATGCCACTTTAGGACTAGTCCATGCTGTTAAAATAATTTTGTATTAAATCCTTTCACCTGAGACTTGTCAGACTAGTCATGGTTTTTCTGATATTGGTTTTTCTGATATTGTTTTGAGAGCTTTCATTCAATGGTCCGGTCAGCGAGGCCGTGACATGAGCTCCCTCTTTAACAAACAGCGCTGAGCCTGGTCCTGACACAACAGTGAAGCAATATTGTGAAATCATTGACCAGCCAGTCATTTTTGTGTTTTTATCTGCATACGTAAAACACTACTCCCACTGTGCCCATTGTGTTTACTCTTGTATATTTGTCAAAACACTCGTATTTGTATGCATGCATTGGGACTGCTTACCGAAAACTAATGCTCTTCCACAGATGGAACTCTGTCCCCTGTCAGGTTGGAGCAATATCGATTTGCAGCCTTTCACTAAATGTACTTTGGCAAAAATATGGGTTTGACATGCCATGCCAAGGGCAAGTACACCTAACCCAGGGTCAGCCTGACCTTGTTTATGACCGCTACTTTTTAAGTGCATGTCAACTTACTATCGTTTCTCACTTTGTTTAAAAAAATGATTACACTTATGATTTTAATTTCATTACGTACATTATCTTCACAATTATTTTTGTTTTAGTGTTTAGTGAATTAGTATTTCTACACAATTTTTTGTAAATTCTTTGCAAAGGTGAATTATGTGTGCGTTGAAAAAATAAATAATCTCAACCCATTTGATGAAGCATCATCGCTTTCTGTCAACAGCTGCAATCATTGGCTGAGGCTTAAACTTATCGGGTCCGATGTGGAATGGTCAACAGAAGGGGCAGGACTGTAGTCGAAGAAACTATGCTCCCTCTACTATAAAAGTGGGTGCACATTTATATCTTTCTTACAGCACCCAGTGAACTGAGGAGATCACTTGTTGTTGTGAAGCCATGGTGATGAAGTGGACTGTGTGCCTTGTGGCTCTGGCCTTGCTTGGTAGCTTCTGTGAGGCTCAATGGATTCCAGGGGTCCCTACGCCCAACAAACAGGTTCCTCATAATCCCCAACAGACAAAGCAGACATTTGAGAAAGCTCTCACCTGGAAATACCCTGAAGATCCGCAGCCTCTACCCAAAGACAATGTGGCTTTCGAGCTGAGATCTCCTGTTGCTGCTTCATCTGTCTCTGTCGATTGCCGAGAGAAGATCGTTCATGTGGAAGTCAAGAGGGACATGTTTGGGACAGGCCAGTTAATCAATCCCGCTGACCTGACGCTGGGAAACTGTGCTGCTGTTGGAGAAGACACTAATGCTCAAGTCTTGATTTATGAGGCGCAACTGCAGGATTGTCTCAGCGCATTAAGGGTAAGCATAAGGAAGATGATTCAGATCACTGTGAAATGATTAAGAAATTGCGAGGAATATTTATTTAATATTTGGTAAAATATATCAATGTTTGCACTGATATGTATTTAGACGACAGAAGATTACATCATCTACACCTTCACCATGAATTACCTTCCCCGTCCTCTGGGCTCCTCCCCTGTGGTGAGAACCAGCCAAGCTGCTGTCATTGCGGAATGCCACTACCCAAGGTATGTACGCTATCAGTTAGAGGTGTGGTAATAAAATAAAAGAATTGGATTAGCTCATTTTAATGGCAAATCCACCATATTGTGAGAATCTTTTAAATCTGCATTCTAATGAATCCATTTCATCCGCTAGGAAGCACAATGTGAGCAGCCTTGCTCTTCATCCCGCGTGGCGTCCCTTCTCTGCTGTTAGAATGGCTCAGGAATTCTTGTACTTCACTCTGAGACTCATGATCGGTAAGCAAGAGAACAATGTATCTGCACAATTTAACTTTGGGAAATTTTTATTTAAAATATGTATATGTCATAATTCCACTAAACAGATGACTTCCAACATGAAAGGCCAAGCCACCAGTATTTCCTGGGAGACATCATCAATATCGAGGCTACCGTTCGGCAGTTCTTCCACGTGCCCCTCCGTGTATATGTGGAGAGCTGCGTGGCTACTCTATCAGCGGACGCAACCTCCACCCCTAGATATGCCTTCATTGACAACAATGGGTGAAGCTGTTCTGCACAGTGAGAACTAATTACTACCACCACATTGTCCCCATCTCTAACGTTGATTTGTATGGTTTCTGCGCATGCAGGTGTTTGCTTGACGCTAGACTCACAGGCTCTACTTCGAGGTTCTTGGCTCGCACTGTGGACAACAAGCTGCAGTTCCAGTTGGCAGCCTTCAAGTTCCATGGTGCTCAAAGTGGACTTGTAAGCATTTAATAATTTCTGTTGTACATCAGTCATTAAAAAAGAAAATCAGATAATAATCAAAATCCTTCATTTTTCCCACAGCTCTACATCACCTGCCACCTGAAAGCATCATCTGCTGCTCATGCCATCGATACTGAACATAGAGCTTGCTGCTGGAACAACGGGTGAGTCTCTATGTGTGCACGATAAAGCTTGATTGAGGTATTATTATGGTATTTACTGCTTGCATTTCTCTTTAGGTGGTATGAGGCCGGAGGAGTTTTTGACGTGTGTGGCTCCTGTGAAAGTGGATTAGGAACTCAGCCTCCTTTAAATCCAAAGGGAATACCTCAGTTTCCTGGAAGGAAGATTCGTGATGTGTCCAAAAGTGAAGGTATGCTACTACAAAACTAATTTAAAACTAATACTAATTTTGAAAACATTTTATATGATACCGGTATTAGTTAGAGAATCATAGTGCCGCATAATTTGACACATGTCTTTTGTCCTAACTTCTAGTTTTGGAATGGGAAGGTGATGTCACCCTGGGTCCCATCCACATTGCAGAGAAGATGGTTGTTTGAGTCAATTCCCTGCGACAGCTATGGCCATCAAAATAAACAGTCTCGTTGGTCCATAATTGTCTGCATGTTATTCACCTGCTTCCTGTTAATAGTTCCGTTTAAACAAGGACATTTACTTGAATAAATGTAATCAACATTTGAGTTTAAAAAATAAAATACAATTTTAAGAGCCAGATGTGTAAGTTCCTTTACATTGTCCTATTTTATGCAAAATATTATATATGGAACAGAACTCTGCAGTTGATAGACTTTCATTGAATAGAACCATCACAGAAAAGGCCAGATATTCACCTCTCTTTTCAACATGGAGGCTCAGTAAACAACTGGAAAAATGAAGTGGACTATGACTTGTTATTAGTAACATCATAAAGTTAACGGCCAATTGACTAAAAAGGACAAACAACTATTACACATGTAAGGGACATTTAAGAAAATGTCTTTATCCACGATTAAATTACTGTTTGTTGGTTTGCTGGCCTGGTAAATCATTAAAGGTTAAGCACACTATAAATGCACTTCTTCAGTTAAAGGCTTGCTAGCTTTTCAGTCGGTGAGTAAACATTTACCTCCCCCGTGTGGAATCCTCTGGCTTTTGTTTGCCTGTTACATTACATTACATGTCATTCAGCTGTCGCTTCTGTTCAAAGCAAATTACAATAAGTGCATTTCAATCATAAGGATGCAAACTAAAAAGAACAAGAAACAAGAAAGGGCAATTTCATTAAATAAGCCGATTTACAGCTTGCTCTAGATAAGAGCCATCATAGCTACAATTTAAGTGCTACAATTTTGGCATTTTTAGCCAAGTAAGTCTGTAAGGCTGTCATCAGAGAGCTCATTCCAACTTTTATGAGCCAGGACAGCAAAGATTTGTGATCTTGCTGAGTGTTTTGCTCTCATTGAGAGAGGAACAAGCAGTTTGGCAGATGCAGAGCGGAGTGTCGGGGTTGGGATGTAGGGTTTGACCATGTCCGGGATGTAGACTTGACCCGAACCATTCACAGCATGGTACGGGAGTACCAATGTTTTTAAGTGGATGCGGCCAACCACTGGTAGCCAGTGAAGAGAGCGGCGGAGTGGAGTAGTGTGGGAGAATTTAGGAAAGACTTTACGAGCTGCTGCATTCTGGATGAGCTGCAGAGATCGAATGGTGGTGGCAGGGAGACCTACCACGAGAGAGTTACAATAGTTGAGGTGAGAGATGACAAGAGCTTGAGTCAGTACCTGCGCCGCCTTCTGAGTGAGAAGCGGACGTATTGTCCTGATGTTGTAGAGCGTGTATCTACAGGATCGTGCTGTTGCTGGGATGTTGGGAGTCAGGGAGAATTGGCTGTCAAGTGTCACACTGAGGTTCCTGGCAGTCAAAGGGGGCATTAACACGGTGTTGCCAAAGTTAACAGTCAGGTCCTGTGTAGGAGAATCTTTTCCTGGAAAGAGAAGTAGTTCAGTCTTGTCGGGGTTGATTTTCAGATGGTGAGCGGACATCCACTGAGAGATGTCAGTCAGACAGGCAGAGATCCCTGCCACCACCTGAGTGTCCGAGTGAGGGAAAGAGAGAGTTAGCCATGTAAGAGAATAACAGAGCCGAGAGAGCTGGTGTAGAGAGAGAAGAGGAAGGGATCCAGAACAGAACCCTGAGGAACTCCAGTAGTAAGAGGGCAAGGTTTCGACACAGGTGTTCTCCAGGTTACCTCGTAGGTGCAGCCGTCAAGGTAGGACGAGAGAAGAGAGAGCGCAGAACCTGAGACACCAAGTTCAAAAAGGCAGGAAATAAGGATCTGCTGGTTTACTTTGTCAAATGCAGCAGAAACGTTTAGAAGGATGAGGACAGAGGAGAGAGAGGCGGCTCTAGCAGTGTGGAGTTGCTCTGAGACAGCAAGGAGAGCAGTCTCTGTGGAATGGCCTGCCTTGAAGCCTGACTGGTGGGGTCAAGGAGGTTGTTATGGTGGACATAGAAGGAGAGTTGGTTAAAGATAGCACGTTCAAGAGTTTTGGACAAAAAGTGAAGGAGAGAGACTGCTCTGTGGTTGTTTTGGGTTGAGGGTAGGTTTCTTCAGGAGTGGGTTGACTATTGCCTCCTTCAGGAAAACAGCCAGATAACAAAGAAGAGTTAATGAGATATGTGGGAAGGGAAGAAGGTTTGGAGCGATGGATTCTAGAATATGGGATTGAATGGCGTCAAGATTACGTAGTTGGATGGGCAGAAGTTAGTACGGTAAGAACTGCGTTAGGAAACAGGTACATAAAGAGCAGATCTAGCCTGAGGGCTGTAGTATCTGCGGGACAATATTCAAACAGGTACAGGCGTCAAACACATTATTAACAATTAGTGGTCAAAGGCGCCACACTCAGCCACCTACCGCAAGGTTGGCGGTTCGAACCTTGGCTGCTCCATGTCCCATGTCGAAGTGTCCCTGAGCAAGACACCTAACCCCTAATTGCTTCCCGAGCAACATATAAACATTGGGTTAAAAATGAATTGTAAGTTGCTTTAGATAAAAAGCGTCAGCTACATGACATATAATGTGTTAAAAGACTCCCTCGTCTTTGTCCTACTCTTCTTCGTAAACGCTGAATCTAATGCTTTGCCGAACCTCCAGTTAAATACAACCTCGTCAGTGGAAGTTGGCTACGGCTGCACTGACCACACCCTCGACGATAGGAATCAAAAGGTTGATTGCCCTCAGTAGAAACTCCTTAAAATGCAAAATTCAAACAAAAAACACTAGTCAGTGAATTTTCACAGTCTGCTGTTCTGACAAACTGAGAGTTTCATTGATTCAAGTTGGCTCTGCTTCAGAAGAGAAAGCAGAACAGAGTTAGATCAGGTCAAACTTAGCAAAAATAGGGGGGCACGCCAGCAGTCAATTTAATCTAATAAAGCAGAATCTACAGAACTGGCAGTCCAGTAAAAAAAAATGTACTTAAAACAGCAGAATGAACAAATTTAGCAGACTAGCTTGCTTTAAAGAAAATATACTTATTCCGATTTCAGGTCGTCTGGATGTCGGAAGGTCCAGTAGTCGAGATGCACACTGCCTTCATGTCCACCCCTCCACTACGCTGCTTGTGTGGATGGTTTACTGCAGATTTGATGATGCTGAGCAGACTCATCTGAATGAAAGCTTGCGGGACAGAGGGGGCCATCTGTGGGGCCGCGGAGTGAGACATCTCTGTCCACGGGTGCTGCATGTCCCATGTCTTCATTTCCAAGCCCTGAGCATAGCCCCAACCCCTGTCACGACCAATGAGCCATTGGGTGATATATCCTTACACCCGACAGAGATTTCATGTTTGTCACCCAGAATTCCGTCAGTACCCCTGACTCGTATGAAGTCATCATTGCCTGCTCGTCGCTGCTTACACTTTGTGGTAACCCAGGGGGAGTGAGGCCAGATTCGGGCGTAAAATAAGAAACTCAGACAGCAAATGCAAACAAAAAGGGTCCTTTTAATAACAAAGGTCAAAAGCTACGGCTCTTCCAACCGGCTTCCAAACTGAAATATGTGGCGTCTCCTCCTACGTGGCGCCCGCTTCCTTGTCCTGTTAGGAGCAGAGTAGAGTAGAGCGGTGAGTCCTGGGGGTTACCTCCTCTCCGACGTCTGCTCCCGTCCGGTCTCTTCTCCTCTCCTTATCTAGGGTCTGCTCTGATTACCAGATAGGCCGCAGGTGTGACCAGTGCCACGTTCCCAGTGGCTGGAGCACCTGCACAGGATAACACCTCCCCCAACCGGAGCTTGGGGCTCCGCCCCAAGTGCTTTGTTCCTCCCCCTGGTTTGCCACAACTTGTTGATGTAGCTTTTTTAAAATTCAAATTAAGCCGTATTTATTTGAAAGTATACAGGGTGGAAATATCTGAGATGTAGTTTGATGAATGATTAGAGCTCCTTTTGCTACAATTTCATCTGGATGGTGTGGTGTGAATATTTTGCAAAATCGCTGGAACAATAAAACTCTTTTGCTCTGCATCTTCAACTGGTGCAGAGGCGAGATTAATCCCTAAACTTGAAATAATGCAACTTTAGGACTAGTCCGTCAATCATTTAGCATTAGATCCTTTCGCCGGAGAGACTAGTCAAGCGATTGACATAGAAAAGTGAAGGTTTTTCTAATATTGTTTTGAGAGCCTTTATTCAATGTTCCGCTCAGCGAGGCCGTGACATAAGCTCCCTCTTTAACAAACAGCGCTGAGCCTGGTCCTGACACAACAGTGAAGCAATATTGTGAAATCATTGACCAGCCAGTCATTTTTGTTTTTGTTCCTTTTTGCATATGCATACGTAAAATACTACTCCCACTGTACCTATTGTGTTTACCCGTGTATATTTGTCAAAACACTTGTATTTGTATGCTTGCGTTATGACTGCTTACAGAGAAGAAATGCTCTCCCACAGATGGAACTCTCTCGCTAGTCTGGTTGCAGCTTTTCACTAAATGTACTTTGGCAAAACTATGGGTCCGACATGCCATGCCGAGGGTAAGTACACCTAACCCAGGGTCAGCCTGACCTTGTTTATGACCGCTACTTTTTAAGTGGATGTAAACTATCTTTTCTCACTTTCTTTGAAAAAAAAAGGTTACATTTACGATGCTAATTTTCATTTCATTAGGTACATTATCTTAAAAATAATTTTGAAGTAGTATTTCTACACAATGTTTGTTCATTCTTTGCAAAGTGAAATTGTATGCAATAAACCAAAAAATCTCAATCCATCCGATGAAGAGTCATAGTTGTATCACTTTCTGTCAACAGCTGCAATCGTCTCATTGGCTGAGGTGTAAACTTATCAGGTCAGGAATGGTCAACAGAAGGGGCGGGACTGTAGTCAAAGGATCTATCCTCCCTCTACTATAAAAGTGGGTGCACATTTATATCTTTCTTACAGCACCCAGTGAACTGAGGAGATCACTTGTTGTTGTGAAGCCATGGTGATGAAGTGGACTGTGTGCCTTGTGGCTCTGGCCTTGCTTGGTAGCTTCTGTGAGGCTCAATGGATTCCAGGGGTCCCTACGCCCAACAAACAGGTTCCTCATAATCCCCAACAGACAAAGCAGACATTTGAGAAACCTCTCACCTGGAAATACCCTGAAGATCCGGAGCCTCTACCCAAAGACAATGTGGATTTTGAGCTGAGATCTCCTGTTGCTGCTTCATCTGTCTCTGTCGGTTGCAGAGAGAAAGTAATTTATGTGGAAGTCCAGAAGGACATGTTTGGGACAGGCCAGTTAATCAATCCCGCTGACCTGACTTTGGGAAACTGTGCTGCTGTTCGAGAAGACACTGACGCTAAAATCTTGATTTATGAGGCGCAACTGCAGGATTGTCTCAGCGCATTAACGGTAAGCATAAGGAAGATGATTCACTGTAAAATGATGTAAATGAAATTGTGAGGAATATTCATTTCAGCTGGTAAAATAGGTTGTCAATGTTTGCACTAATACGTATTTAGCGGACAGAAGATTACATCATCTACACCTTCACCATGAATTACCTTCCCCGTCCTCTGGGCTCCTCCCCTGTGGTGAGAACCAGCCAAGCTGCTGTCATTGTGGAATGCCACTACCCAAGGTATGTACGCTATCAGTTAGAGGTGTGGTAATAAAATAAAAGAATTGGATTAGCTCATTTTAATGGCAAATCCACCATATTGTGAGAATCTTTTAAATCTGCATTCTAATGAATCCATTTCATCCGCTAGGAAGCACAATGTGAGCAGCCTTGCTCTTCATCCCGCGTGGCGTCCCTTCTCTGCTGTTAGAATGGCTCAGGAATTCTTGTACTTCACTCTGAGACTCATGACTGGTGAGCAAGAGAACAATGTATCTGCACAATTTAACTTTGGGAAATTTTTATTTAAAATATGTATATGTCATAATTCCACTAAACAGATGACTTCCAACATGAAAGGCCAAGCCACCAGTATTTCCTGGGAGACATCATCAATATCGAGGCTACCGTTCGGCAGTTTTTCCACGTGCCCCTCCGTGTATATGTGGAGAGCTGCTATGCTACTCCACAACTGCCCCCGGACGTCCGCCCCATTAGCTATTCCTTCATCAACGATGGGTGAGGAATCGTTTCGTTAAAGTTGTTCTGCACAGTGAGAACTATTTACTACCACCACATTTTCCCCATCTCTAACGTTGATTTGTATGTTTTCTGTGCATGCAGGTGTTTGATTGACGCTAGACTCACAGGCTCTCATTCGAGGTTCATGCCTCGCACTGTGGACAACAAGCTGCAGTTCCAGTTGGAGGCCTTCAAGTTCCAGGCTGTTGATAATGGCATAGTAAGCATGTAATCATTTTTGTTGTACATCAGTCAAGTCATTAAAAAAAGAAAATCAAATATCAATTAAAGTTCTATTTTTCCTACAGCTCTACATCACCTGCCACCTGAAAGCATCATCTGCTGCTCATGCCATCGATACTGAACATAGAGCTTGCTGCTGGAACAACGGGTGAGTCTCTATGTGTGCACGATAAAGCTTGATTGAGGTATTATTATGGTATTTACTGCTTGCATCTCTCTTTAGGTGGTATGAGGCCGGAGGAGTTTTTGACGTGTGTGGCTCCTGTGAAAGTGGATTAGGAGCTGTGCCGCCTCCGCCTCCACCTCCTTCAGATCCAAAGGGAGGAGCTGGTAGACCTGGAAGGAAGATTCGTGATGTGTCCGAAAGTGAAGGTATCCTAGTAAAAAACGTTCTAAAGCATTTCATCTGATACGAGTATTAGTTAGAGAATCACAGTGTTGCATACTTTGACACATGTCTTTTGTCCTAACTTCTAGTTTTTGAATGGGAAGGTGATGTCGCCCTGGGTCCCATCAACATTGCAGAGAAGATGGTTGTTTGAGTCTTTGTGTATAATCCCTTCCACTTTCTTGGTCTCTGATTCCAAATGTCTTAAGTGGAAATAGCAACTGGCCTAAACGTTGTTAGCTTGTGTTGTCTTGAAACTCTAAATTACAATTATGCATAAAAGAGGGTTTGTTTGAATATGTAAGAAATGTATTCTGTCAATGATAATGTAAATTTTCTTTTTTCAAACACAGTATTTTGTTGAAAAAACAAGTGACTACAAGCTCAATCAACTTTAAATTAAAAAATGTTTAGAAAACTAGAACATGCAAGTATAATTAAACAACTTTATTTATAGTTGAAACTAAGCGGATCCAAATAGAGGTAACTTGTCTCTTAAAGGCAGCAGGTGAGCTTTCATTTCCAAGTACAACTGACATGAAATGTTTGACAGTGTAATAACTCAATAGTAAACCATCCCATCCCCCCCAATGTTTCATACTTGGCACTATTCCAGCCCTTAACATATAAAGAAGCAAATACTGACCAAGTCATTCCTCTGCACCTAAACCCCACCCCCTTTTTGTTACCCATGAACCATTTTCTATTGACACTTTTCAGAGACGGATGGCACAGTGTTGTGGTGGTCACCTCACAGATAGATGGTTGCGTGTCTTGCTGTGTGGAGTTTGCATGTTTTTCCCCGTGCCTGCATGTGTCCTATCTGACTGTGGCTTCCTCCCACAGTCTCTAAAGTCATGCAGGATAAGTATATTGGTGACTCTGAAATTGCCCATAGGTGTTTCAATTCAATTCATTTTATTTTGTACAGCCCATAATCGCAAATTACAAATTTGCCTCAGAGGACTTTACAGTCTGTACACATACAACATCCTCTGTCCCGAAACCCACCATCGGCACAGGAAAAACTCCCCAAAAAATGAAAAAACCCTTCCAAGAGGGAAAAAAGGGAAGAAACCTTAGGGAGAACGTCAGAGGAGGGACCCTACTCCCGGGATGGACAGACTACAATGGATGCCATGTGTACAGAATGAACAATATATAATACATGCAATTATATGACAGAAATGATTCAAGTAATTGTGAGTAGTAAGCCAGGCGCACAGCAGGACCACTGCAGGGGCAACCACCATCAGATAGAACCACCATCCACAGAAGCCTGTGGGGAGGGAGAGCACAAAGACTTTAGGAGAGGGTAATGTTGGTTTACGAGTACAGTAATGTGATTAATATCTAAAATAATAATGATGATGATGATGGCAGCAGCAGGCGTCAGCATGGCCACGGTAGGTGTCAGGACCAGGGTCCCAAAGGAACCACGATCTACGGAGACCTGCTAGGGGAGAAAGCACAAAAAAAAAACTCCCGGAAAGAAGCTGAATTAGTCATGTGCATTAATAAAACGTGAATTATGGTAGAACGAGAGCGTGAGAGAGGAGCTTGGTGTGTCCTAAGAATTCCCCTGGCATTCTAAGCCTATAGCAGCTTAACTAAGGGCTGGTCCGGGCTAACCTGAGCCAGCCCTAACTATAGGCAGAATCAAAAAGGAAAGTTTTAAGTTTTACTTTAAAAGAGTTGACCGAATCTGCCCCCCAGACTGAAAGTGGAACCTGCTTCCACAAAAGAGGAGCTTGATAACTGAAGGCTCTGGCCCCCAGCCTACTTTTTAAAACCATAGGAACAACAAGTAACCCAGCATCTATGGAGCGCAGCTGCCTTGTAGGGCAATAAGGTGTTACAAGCTCTTGAAGATACAACGGTGCCTCACCAGCAAGTGCCTTGTAGGTGAGAAGAAGTACCTTAAAATCTATTCTTGATTTAACAGGGAGCCAGTGCAGAGAAGTTAATACAGGAGTGATATGATCCCTTTTCTTAGTTCTTGTTAATACACGTGCTGCAGCATTATGAATCAACTGGAGAGGCTTAAGAGATTTACAAGAGCAGCCTGATAACAAAGAATTACAGTAGTCCAGTCTGGAAGTGACAAACGCATTGTCACAAATGTAGGTTCTCGGGGCGCAGAGACAACACGACACGGCAGGGTTGGTCGCAATACAATATGTTTTTATTGCAGTTTTCACACACACATGGACCAGTGAGGTCCCCGCGTCTCCCCCCTTGTCGCCGCTCTCACTGCTCTTAAAAAGACACAAACACAAAGTTAGATTGGCATCAGCTGTGCAGATGCCAATTGCTCCCACCTGGCACCGTTCCCTGAGCCACTCCCCACTCTCTCCCGCTGCAGACGAGCCAAAACCACGCCCGCCACCACACGCATGAACTAATTTTTCTGCATCACTTTGAGACAGGAAGTTCCTGATTTTTGATATGCTACGTAGATGAAAATAGGCAGTCCTTGAAGTCTTCTTTATATGCGAGTTGAAGGTCATATCCTGGTCGAAGAGAACTCCCAGATTCCTGACGGTGCTGCTGTGTACCAGAGCAATTCCATCCATAAAAACTGTATCACGTGACAGCTGGCTTCGAAGGCGCTCTGGGCCTATCAGGATAACTTCCGTTTTTTCTGAGTTTAGCATCAGGAAGTTGCCGGTCATCCAAGTTTTGATGTCTCCAAGACATTCTTGAAGTCTAACTACCTGGTCCGTCTCTTCTGGCTTGATTGACAGATACAGTTGAGTATCGTCTGCATAACAATGGAAGTTTATGCGGTGTTTCCTGATAAGATCGCCCAAAGGAAGCATATAGAAGGTAAATAAAATCGGTCCAACTACAGAACCTTGTGGGACTCCGTGACCAACATTGGTGGTCTTTAAGGATTCACCGTTTACAAGCACAAACTGGGATTGATCCGATAAGTAGGATTTAAACCAGCTGAGTGCAATTCCTTTGATACCAATTAAATGTTCTAGTCTCTGCAACAGGATACAATGGTCTATGGTATCAAATGTGGCACTGAGGTCCAGCAAGACAAGAAAAGAGATGAGTCCTTGGTCCGATGCAAGTAGAAGATCATTCGTAATTTTCACCAGTGCTGTTTCTGTACTGTGATGCGCTCAAAATCCTGACTGGAAATCCTCAAACAAAGCATTGTTTTGTAGAAAGTCACAACTTTAATTAACAACCAATGTCTGCATGCAAGAGTGTCTCTCTGTGTCAGCTGTGCGATGGCCTGGCAATCAGTCCAGGGTGACACACTCCAACCCCCCCGCAGCACTCTAAGGATAAACAGTATAGGACCGACTGACTTGTGAGAGATATCAATGCAACTTTCTATCTCATCGGCAAGCGCTTTCACAGGGGCAACCGTGGTGCGTGGAGTAGAGCGCTGGGAACCTTCAGGGTTGGCGGTTCGAACCCCGGCTGCTCCGTGTCCCATGTCCCAAGTGTCCCTGACACCTAACCCCTAACTGTTTCTCTGGCGGCTTTACGGCAGCCTACTGCTCCCACTTTGTGGCATGGGTTAAATGCAGAGGACAATTTCCTGTATGTGGAATATTATACATGCAATAAAAATGTCGTCTTCTTCTTCTGAGCCCTGAGCATAGCACCAACCCCTGTCACAACCAATGAAGCATTGTGTGATATATGATTAGACCCGGGAGAGATTTCATGTTTGTCACCCAGCTTCCCGTCAGTACCCCCGACTGCTACGACGTCATTAGTGCCCTCTCATCGCTGCTTGTAGCTTCAAACACTTGTTGATATAGCTTTTTTTTTCATTCGACTGAAGCCTTTTTTATTTGAAAGTATACAGGGCTGAATTTAAAAGACATATCCGAGATGTAGTTTGATGAATAATTACATTGTAGGAAGGTGGAAACAAATGACGAGACGAAAGAGCCATTTGTCTGCACCGTGTCCATTTACTCTCATCCAACAACATTGAACAAACATTTACTTTCTACTACTTTTAACCTCCACCCTGGTACCAGGGTTACGCCCCTTTCCCTTAAAGGGGTTCCGTGAATTCAGTCCTCATGCAGTCCGGTACAACATCTCCTTTTGCTATATTTCATCTGGATGGTGTGGTGTGAGCAATTTGTAAAATCGTTGGAACAATAAAACTCTTTTGCTCTGCATCTTCAACTGGTGCAGAGGCGAGATTAATCCCTAAACTTGAAATAATGCCACTTCAGGACTAGTCCGTCAATCATTTAGCATTAAATCATTTCGCCAGATACTTTTTGCTTCATCGACATAGAAAAGAGAAGGTTCTTCTGATATTGTTTTGAGAGCTTTCATTCAATGTTCCGCTCAGCGAGGCCGTGACATAAGCTCGCTCTTTAACAAACAGCGCTGAGCCTGGTCCTGACACAACAGTGAAGCAATATTGTGAAATCATTTACCAGGCAGTCATTTTTGTGTTTGTTCCTTTTTGCATATGCATACGTAAAATACTACTCCCACTGTACCTATTGTGTTTACCCGTGTATATTTGTCAAAACACTTGTATTTGTATGCTTGCGTTATGACTGCTTACAGAGAAGAAATGCTCTCCCACAGATGGAACTCTCTCGCTAGTCTGGTTGCAGCTTTTCACTAAATGTACTTTGGCAAAAATATGGGTTTGACATGCCATGCCGAGGGTAAGTACACCTAACCCAGGGTCAGCCTGACCTTGTTTATGACCGCTACTTTTTAAGTGGATGTACACTATCTTTTCTCACTTTCTTTAAAAAAAATGATTACATTTACGATGCTAATTTATATTTCATTAGGTACATTATCTTCAAAATGATTTTTCTGTTTTTCTAGTATTTCTACACAATGTTTGTTCATTCTTTGCTAAGTGGAATTGTATGCAATAAACAAAAAAATCTCAATCCATCTGATGAAGAGTCAGAGTTGTATCACTCTGTCAACAGCTGCAATCGTCTCATTGGCTGAGGTGTAAACTTATCAGGTCAGGAATGGTCAACAGAAGGGGCGGGACTGTAGTCAAAGGATCTATCCTCCCTCTACTATAAAAGTGGGTGCACATTTATATCTTTCTTACAGCACCCAGTGAACTGAGGAGATCACTTGTTGTTGTGAAGCCATGGTGATGAAGTGGACTGTGTGCCTTGTGGCTCTGGCCTTGCTTGGTAGCTTCTGTGAGGCTCAATGGATTCCAGGGGTCCCTACGCCCAACAAACAGGTTCCTCATAATCCCCAACAGACAAAGCAGACATTTGAGAAACCTCTCACCTGGAAATACCCTGAAGATCCGGAGCCTCTACCCAAAGACAATGTGGATTTTGAGCTGAGATTTCCTGTTGCTGCTTCATCTGTCTCTGTCGATTGCCGAGAGAAGATCGTTCATGTGGAAGTCCAGAAGGACATGTTTGGGACAGGCCAGTTAATCAATCCCACTGACCTGACGCTGGGAAACTGTGCTGCTGTTGGAGAAGACACTAATGCTCAAGTCTTGATTTATGAGGCGCAACTGCAGGATTGTCTCAGCGCATTAACGGTAAGCATAAGGAAGATGATTCACTGTAAAATGATGTAAATGAAATTGTGAGG